TATTAGACTGCATCACTGAACATAAAACAAATCGGTACTGTTTACCAATTGGAATTATTAGATCTATTATATGTATTTAAGACTTGCACCAAAATATTGCGGAAAACTCTTAAGATTTACGGGAGCTGCGCCGATTTGAAAATATCTCCAAAACTTGAGATTTTTATGAATTTAAAATTTTTTTCTAAGTAAAACTCACCTCAGATGACAACCCAGTTTAGCTTAAAAAATTTACTTACAAATATTTTAAAAACGTTTCATGGAATCATAATAATGAAATTTTTGGTGCTGTTTTTGAACTTTTTCAAAGTTGGTTTAAAAAAAAACTTGAATAACTCAGCCAAAACCTTCCCAATTAAGACTTTTGAGGTATCAATGGAAAGGTATTTTCTCACCCTTTTTTTTCAAAAATTCTTTAAGAAACAATTTTTATTCATAAAAAACTCCATTTTAGGAGGCGTTTTTCTCAAGTTTTGTTTTTTTTGAGTTATGGTACTGTTGAAATAAATGAGCGATATGTCTGGAAGTACATTAGGGCGGGTAAATTTGAATGGGAGATTTATTCATATGACAAAAATTATACTAAAGTCATTTTATAAAAAAATGGCATGTAATAAAATTTGAATGTGGACCGAAAAGTGGAAATTAAAATCATTTTAAAAGAAGAACTAAGATAAGTGGTGCAACATTTTATTAGATAGTTTGGACGAGGCCTTGAAATGGCTGTTCTATTTAGTTGGAAAAAAGATTGGCTCTCCTTATTTTCAAGGTGGCACCGATTCCACAACCCATTGTGATTGGCTTTCCAGTGTTCAAAAGCACCATGGAAGAAATCGTAAAATTTTCGTAATTTGACTGTACTAATGTCCCTATGTACTTATACACATACATTCATACATACATAAGCCTTCATTAGTTAAACATAAAAATATATACCTGAAGGGAACTTTGATTTACTTTCTTTAAGCAACAAAGAGGAGTTCAGCTCTCTTTTTAGTGGGAGTTCAATAAACTGGAAAGGCTAAGTATAATATTTATGTATGTAAATGTTGTTGTGCCTAAATTTTTTCGATTTAAAAAAGTATACAGAACTTAGTTTTCCACGATAATTTTACAGAAGAGGCTAATGAACTGCGTGATAAACTTGACTTAAGAAGCTAATATGCTGTCAAAAATGTTTAATCACCCTAATCGAAGAACTTTTGAAACGATTACCTAATCAATTAAATACTTTTAAAAAAGCTTTGATTTTGTCACCAGAAAAGTGTGTGAATCACAAGAAGGCGAGTTTCAGGGACCTGCTAATTCACTATTTGACTTTGAAGGAAAGAAGAGCAGCGGAAATTTAAATCTTTTAACTTTCCCATGGAATAACTTTTCTCAGAACCATTCCATCCGACTCTGAAGAATTTTGGATACTTGCTTACGGAGAGAAAATCGCAACAGGCAATAAAATGTTTGGAAACATAAAGGCTGGTTTTCACTATGTCAAATTCAGTGGCATTTGTCGTCAAATAAGTGAAAAGACATTGTCAAATGGCATCAGAAAACTGTTTATCGATTGATTTGGATCAGGATAGGGCTTTAGTCGTGTACATGCGCTGGGAAATCGGCTGTATGCCAATTTTTGGCCCATAATATCATCGGTAAAGGTCTGTGTCAAAATATGTCGCCCAATTTTGGCGTCAAAATATGACATAGTGAAAACCAGTCTTAAGCAAATTCATATTACTAGTGTTCGCCCAGCGGTTGAAATTCATCCGCTTAAATTAAGGATAGTTTATGTGAGTTGAGTTAAGCTGAAATGAAATTAGTTGGAATGGGTTAAGTGGAGGGGAGTTTAGTTTAGTACTTAGCATAACATAACATACCATAACATAAGATTAAATAACGTAACATATGTAGCATAACACACCACAATATAACATCGCACATTCCTCAGTTGTATTTCCTTTTTATCCCTATCACTTTCTTCCTCTCTATCTTTGTCTCCATCGCTTTTAATGTTTATGTTTCTGTTTATGTTTATCTTCACCTTCATGTTCATGTTCAAGTTTATGTTCCAGTTCATGTTCATGTTCAAGTTCATGTTCATGTTCATGTTCATGTTCATGTTCATTTTCATGTTCATGTTCATGTTCATCTTCACCCTTATCTTCATCTTCATCTTCATCTTCATCTTCATCTTCATCTTCATCTT